GTAAGGGCCGTGGCACATAGAAAAACTTAAGCAGTAAGACTTAAGACTTAAGAATTTCAACCATACGGAATTTTCAGCGTAGCTTACGTTTCAATATGGCTGCCTTACTGTTCGACCGTGATTGGTCAATTCGCTTACGTCTTAACCTTTACTGCTTAAGTTTTTTTATGTGCCCGGGCCCTTAGCACGCTTGAGGCTGGGAGCTGGGACTCGTGTTCCGGCAGTACCCGAGAGTAGACCGATGTATAAGCTTTTGTAATATTCATACACGTGATCCGTTACGCGTGCGTGGCGTACTTATAAGTAGTCGCGTTCCGCTCAGTTATTTATACTGTTTGTCAAAGTGTTAAACCACTTGTTAAAAACGACCAGACAAAGAGATATCCTTAAAGCCCGTATCAGACTACGCATTGAAGATTGAGATTCAAGATTCAAGATTGAAATTTGACCAATCAGGATAAAGAAATTTTAGTCTCTTTTATTCTGGTTAGTCAAATTCCAATCTTTAATCTTCAATCTTAAATTTTCAATGTGCGTAGTCAAATTGATAGTTTTGCGCTCTGTTGATTTTATTGTTTTCTCATCCAATTTCTTTGATTTAGCTTTCTTAACTTTCAATTTTTTTATGGGAGTCTCAGCACTGTCGATATTACTTTCTTTCCATTCATCTAAACATTTGCGCTTTGCTGTTGACTATAATTCATTAATTAATAATTCATAATTTTAATAACAATTTCAAACTATGAAAATAAGTATCAATGAAACAAATTACTTACTTTTTTCTTTTTGGCAGATTTTACTTTTGTAGTTATAATCTTGCCTTGGGGCGACGCGTGGCGCCGGGCGTAGAGTCGCGGCCTGGTAATCGAGAGATTCCAGGTTCGATTCCGCTCGGGTCCCATCCTTCTTTCCACATGCCTCAAAAGAGGTTTTTCCACAGTTTTCCACATTATCATATAAAACTCTATCTATCCTTACCTCCCCACATGCCTCAGAAAGAGGTTTTACACACACACACATTATCCTATAAAATAATTTCTCCCAGAAACTTATTCTCACTATAACCTGTTGTTGGCCAGAATTTGTTGATCTACCCTTGATCACAAGTGGCCAGATAAATTGAAAGAAGAAGAAGATAATCAATCTTGCCTTTCTTGCTGTTCCGTTCTAATCTATAATCAGTTAATTCCTCTATTCCAATTAATCCTTCTATGCCATTGGACAATAAAGTACCTTCCGATGTTATAGGTTTCCATTCACTATCATTAATTCACAGGGTTGGGAAAATTACTTTATAAAAGTAACTTGTTACCATTACCGTCTTTTTTTCTAAAAAGTAACTCGTTACCGTTACTCGTTACCAATTTTAAAAAGTAACTCGTTACCGTTACCGTTACTCAAAAAATAACGAATCGTTACAATTTCCGTTAGTTTTTTTTATATATAACAATAACTTTACATACAATTTTTTAAAATATAAGATCAAATTAAACACTAAAAATTTTTAAACATTGTCTTACAAAGAAACAAGATACCAAAATGAGTTTTCAGTAGTTTTCATGTAATGCTGCATTCCAACACTCTTATCAATATTTTCCTTTGTATGAAAATTATACCGAGTAAATTCAAAAAAAGTAACGATAAAAGTAACTGTTAAATTCGTTACTCGTTACCGAAAAATGTAACGAAGTTACTTTTTCCGTTACAAACAAAATTTGTAACACCGTTACCGTTACAGTTACCGAAAAAAAGTAACTGTAACGGTAACGGCGTTACAAGTAACGCGTTACTTCCCAACCCTGTTAATTCGTTTGGTTTTCATGATTCTAAAATATTTAATTTTATTGTTATATAGGCTTCGGAATGTTCAACATGGTTAGATAACCTCAACAATCGTATGTGTGTGTGTGTGTGTTACGTACGGAATTCTTTTTTTATAATTATTTGACTATAATTAACAATAAATCACACTATACAATAGTGATTAAAGAATTAACTAACAAAAATCACAAATTCAACAATGATAAAAACAAAGAAATGCGCACGTGCCGATGAAATTTGTATAAATAGATATTCAAAATTCAAACATCATCTACAGTTGTTCTCAACAAACTATGAAAGTGAAGATACTAATTCACACACAATCCTTCCTTTTAAAATATATAATTATTCATATACTTACATTTTGTAAAAAAATATGAGTTTTAGAAGGAAATTTATTCTTCATTAACTTTTTTTTTAATCAAATTAAAATAATATAATATTCTCTTCTTCTATTAAAAATAGCAATATATCGATACGATAACGTATACGCACTTTATATAATTAAATTTTTATCCTTGACATACAAAAAAATCTAATTATATAACACGCGCGTGTGTGCTAAAATTTCTCACACGGTAATTGACGGTGACTTGTTGTCGGGAGAGTTTAAGCGTCACTGACAATGAGCGTTATAGAAAACCGGCCCGGTGGTAGCAAGATGGCGTTCCGCGCGACACAGGCATATCGATTGTGTGTGTGGGAGTGTGGGGCGGCCGGCATGGGTGAACCTTCCTTTAAAAATATATAATTATTCATATACTTACATTTTGTAAAAAAGTATGAGTTTTAGAAGGAAATTTATTCTTCATTAACTTTTTTTTAAATCAAATTAAAATAATATAATATTCCCTTCTTCTATTAAAAAAAGCAATATATCGATACGATAACGTATACGCACTTTATATAATTAAATTTTTATCCTTGACATACAAAAAAATCTAATTATATAACACGCGCGTGTGTGCTAAAATTTCTCACACGGTAATTGACGGTGACTTGTTGTCGGGAGAGTTTAAGCGTCACTGACAATGAGCGTTATAGAAAACCGGCCCGGTGGTAGCAAGATGGCGTTCCGCGCGACACAGGCATATCGATTGTGTGTGTGGGAGTGTAGGGCGGCCGGCATGGGTGAAGGCCGTCGGATGCCACATAATTTTCGTAACGGCTCTTCGCGAGACTCAAAGCTGTCCGGACAGATCGAACGATGAACACAATCGGGAGATGATGCCGGGCACATCTTGCCAGTTGGAAACGTCTAACGGTAGTAAGAAATCGGCTTGACTTTTCATCCATCGCGTCTCGGGATCGTCTCTATGAAATTTGACAACGGGCGCGATTCAACCCTTTGCTCTTAAACATGATGTTAGAGATATTATCGCGACTATAATTGTAGCAAATTGTGTGATATTTGATTATCGGCTTAGAAATTTTCGACAACGATTTTCTATATGCTGTTTAGATTTGTGCATGACCGTCGTTATAATTGATTTTTATAATGTCATTTTGACATGTTATTCATTGTATTTGAGAACTGTCCAACGTGTTTTTTATCTCATTAAATTATCCAGCGTTTTCGCACTTAAATTTTATTTTTATTTGAGAAGCATATAATATAATATTGTATGTGTATATGTTAATTAAAGTTTATATATATTATATATTTATTTCCATAGCTATAGATATATATTGATAATAATATTTATTTTATGATGACTAATTCAATATTGATATATAAACTAATTAATTCTCTTTTTTTTCGAAATTATGCAACAGAGCAATATATTTATTGTTTAGATTTTGAGTGGAATACTTTAATGGAGGTCCACCATGAGCCGATTGAAAAAAACTATCAGTTGCTTGAAGAGATTGGCAAGTAAGTATCATTATTTTTAACTGATACTTTCTTTAATAACTATTAATTATTTGATAATGTTTATAAATTTGTAAACTACAGAGGTCAATTTGCTATTGTACGAAAATGCAAGGAAATAAAAACTGATGCATTGTATGCTGCAAAAATAATGAGAAAAAGACGAGTTGCCAGGGGTGTAGCCGCTGCAGATATTGGTAGTTCTTTTATAGTTGTAATACATTGTGGAGATATACTTTCATTTTCAAAATATTATAATAAAGCACTTTTATTTATTTTTTTTTTTTTTTAGCAAGAGAAGCTGGTCTTTTGGCTCGGTTAAGGCATCCTAACATTGTTTCCTTGTACAAAGTAATAGATACAGGAACAACAGTTGTATTGCTTTTGGAATTGATTACTGGAGGTGAATTATTTCATTGGGCTCCATCTGGTGAAATAGAAGCTGCTCATGTGGTACGTAAATATATAGCAGTTAATAAATATTTAGTTATTATTATCCATTAATTTTATATCTTTCTTAAGGTGCGCCAAGTTTTAATGGCACTTAGTCATTTACATTCCCACCAAGTTGCTCATCTGGATATTAAGCCTGAGAATATTCTATTGTCGACACCACCACCGATGCCTAGCATTAAACTAATAGGTAATATCTACAACATTAAAATACTAAAATCATCAATACAAATATACTATTATTTTTACAGATTTAGGTCTATCGCATCGACTGGTACCTGGTTCAGAACACAGAGCATTATTTGGTACACCGGAATTTGTGGCACCCGAAATCGTCAATTATGAACCACTCAGCTTGGGAACCGATCTTTGGGCTGTTGGTGTATTGACGTATATTCTACTGAGCGGAGCTTCGCCATTTTTAGGCGAAGACAAGCAAGAGACATACGCAAACGTTGCTGCTTGCCAGTATCAATTTGACAATGAATATTTCAATAATGTATCCGAGATTGCCAAAGACTTTATACGATCCTTGTTGATCAAGGATCCGAAGTAAGTCGCAAAAAAATTATAGATTTGTGATTTTTTTGTTAGAGATAGAGATGAGAATATCCTAAAAGAGAAAAATTTCCTTATTTTAGAGAAAGAGGAAGTGCTGAATCGTGCCTTAAACATCCTTGGATTCTTACGGTGTGTTCCTGAAAAAACAAAAAAACTTCTCATTGTCCAATAATATTGGTTTATTGTGCATTTTGTTTTTAATGTATTATATATATCGATTCTATGCATTTTTTTTACCAACTTTTGTGTCTCTATATGACATTGATTTTTGTGCTATATCGTATATTATATATACGGAAACTATTTTTCAAACAATATACATTCTTAAGTCAAAAAACAATTTTTCTTTATTATTATACATATATACCTTAGTTACTGAAAAGTATAATCTTTCTTCAAGTTCATGCTTGCTATGTAATAAAACATAGTAATTTTATGATATTATAGAGATAAATTAATTATATAATTTCGACAAAAATTGTATTCTTTCTATGCACAGGAATCTGAAGCCCCTCAGGGTCTCGGTGGAGCAATGATCAGTGCTGTGAAGCGAGGCTGTGTTGAGGCTGTTTCTCAGTTACTGTTGCAGGGTGCTCCATTAAACATAAAAGACTCTGTGAGGAATCTTTTGCTTATTTTGCCAATGTCGAAAGATAATCCGCGGATAAAATGATATAACATGTTATTGTTCAGAAAGAAGACACTCTTTTGCATATCGCTTGCGAGGCTGGCGATGAGGGAATGACGACTCTGCTGATAGAAAGCGGAATCGATCTGGATATACCGAATAAACATGGTCTCACGGCGTTACACGTGGCTGCTCGACACGGGCATATTAATCTGGTCAGACATTTGTGCCTTGCTGGTTGCGACGTCGATAAGACGAATCGCGGGATTCGAGCAGACGTCACTGCGATTAAGTACGGCTATCCGGATATCGCAAATTTATTAGATAAGTTGCGAAATGTAAGTACTTCTACAATACGAGAATGCTTTCCACGTTTGGAGGAATTCTCAATTCTCGTTTTAATCCACTTTTAGCCGAATCAGCGCGAAAATTACATTCGTCAGCTACAACCGACACACAGACCGATAGACCGGCTGCATATAAGACTGCTCGGGCATTGCGCATCTGGGAAATCATCGTTAATCAATTCTTTGAAATCTGGAATATTTAGTTTCGGTTTTTTTCGGAGATCCAGAAGTCAGAATTGTAGCGCGAAGGTATATCATGCTATATAAAATATATAAATTCTGAATAGATATATAAATTCTAAATAATAAAAATTATTGACGTTTAGAGAGAACCAAGTATTGAACTTGATGTGACAAGTAAGCACGGTTCTCTCAGCTTTGAGTATAGCGACAGTGAGTATGAAGGTACTCAGGGGGTGGAATGGAGTCGTGGTAATGTAGGTAAGCGAATTATATTAAAATACTTGGTTTAATAGAGTTATAATATTGTATAATATGGATAAATATTTCTGTAATATATCTTTAATTATGTAATATAATTTATTCAAGTATTTTAAATTTAATCATATTTAATAATATTTATATGCATTGATCAGGTGGCGAGTGCGTTTTTTGGGAGTTATGTGGACGCGAAGAATTTCTAGCATCTTATCACTATGTACTTACATTCCAACAGCCAGCAGTGCATCTTATTACAGTCAGTCTGAGAGAACCACTGACCGTTCAACTTCAGCAGATAAAATTCTGGCTGCAGTTTATCTTAGATCGTATTAATCCAAGTAATGTTGGTAAGGCATTTTTTCATTTCAAATCTTTTTTTTATATCATAATTAATTTGATCAAGGCTTTGGATCAAATTATAATATTTCTGATTTTTGCAATTTTTTTTTCTATTAAAGGGTTTGGCGGCAAATGCAACGACATAAAAGTAATTTTAGTCGGCACTTATGCGCCGGAACCTGTAGCCCCGAATTCTAATGGCGGTAATCTTCTCGCACCGCTTTTGCCATTTCTGAAAGATTTTACATCGATTTTGGGAGAGGAACCTCAAATGGTAGCATTGGATGCAACTAATCCTTCTAGTCCTGGCCTCAAACTCCTAAGATCGTACTTAAATAGTGCAAGAATGGAATTTCTCGAGGT